AAAAAAAAAAAAAAAAAAAACAAAATGTATTCAATAAATTTTCTAAACGTTTGCAACCCTCTATTAACTGGAAGACCTCTAAGGTTTTGCCGCAAGTTTTGGTGGTGTATTTAGTTACTTTCAGTGAGTTTAAAAATTTGTAATTTATGACATTCCCTGTTATGGCTTTGATTCCATTTATAGAAAGCTAAGAAAAAGTAAGCTTTTTATAGTATACGAAACTAAATATTTGAACAGCTGCGATCATTACTGTTTATTGTAAATTTGTTTAAATTCTGTGTTAATTTCTGGTTCGTCTCTTATCCTATTATCTAGCAAAAGGATTAGTTTTACTGTTTGTAAAGAATAGCTTTACTGTTTGTTCTGTTTTCCGGTCTTCTAACTGCTTTTGCAAAGGTTTTGATGTCCGCTTCTTAGTTTGTGTTGGATTACTTTGCTCACTTTGAACTTCCAACCCTTTTTTGGTCATTTTGTCTTACTTGTTCAGTCGAAGATCAATAGCAGCTTATGATCTGGTGGATTATTTGCCAGTCCTTACAAAGTCAATTATAGTCGTCAGCTGCAAATCTCCAAGTGTTCGAGTATTTGGTTGATTCGATTTGGAGGTTGAAAATTTACGAGTTGAACATGTGGCAGTTTTATTTATCTTTATTCACAAATTTCTGCTCTTTTTCAGTTCTAAATATAGTTTTTTTAGTATGGTTTCGTACAAAACTAAGGGAACTTAACTTTCCTGTCAATAATTTCTCATTATTATTCTATGTTAATTTTTGAGTAAAACGTCCGATTTAGCAACGATAAAAATTCGATTGCCCTAAACCCGAATTGTGCTTAAAAGGTACAAAAAGGTATTTATTTTAAAATAATTGCACGGATAATCAAATAAAAGGATCTGAAAGCTTTCCTACTTCCTGCGAGTCTTATTATTCTTGTTCAGAGTAGTGCTTTCATTCAATTGCACAGCATTTCTGTCTGAACATATAGTTTAACTCTTCCGTAAATTTGTTAAATGTTTTACGTCAATGGCGAAGTTCGTCGGAATAATTTTATGACAAACCCACTATTTTTATTCTGAAATCGAAAGTTTAATTGCGGACATTAAATTTGTTTATTCATGTTCTCAGTTTAACTACAACCCTCTCTGACAGATATAAAGAGTTCAACTGCAGAAAGAATTTACTTAGCTTTGCATTAGCTATTAGCCGAACATACAGCACCTAAATATTTTCGTGTTACGTGGAGAACTTAGTGCATAAATAACTTCTCCTTCGATAATGTTCAATCCCTCCAAATAAATTCAGGAGGTTCACCTTTAATTTTCTTCAAACAAATATAATTTACACTTTCGAGCTTTTTAACTGAACTGCTGCTTCAGGTTCATGATAAAACCTTCATCATTTTGACTTTCTAATTTTAAATATGACTATTTTTTCCTTAATCTCATTCACTGAAATGACTGGCTAATGATATCTGACATAAATATTAATCTCAGGCTCAAGTGTCGACGTCTGGAATAGCAAAATTATTACATTAAAATAAAACCAAGACAGGTTTTGTTCGTGTACAGTTCAAACACGCCGCAAAGATAATGACAAAAATTATTTACAGTCGATGGAAAAGACAATTTTTACGATGTAGAAATGTTTGTTTATAGCTCATCTTCTTAGCCATTTTATTACCGGCTGTCGCAAAGCGATACAGCATCTTTTTATAAGTTGATTTATATTTTTCCCAACAGCATTATTTATGAAAAACCCTAATGAAAACGGTTGACGAAGCATCGACCAATTATGGAAAAAAAATCTTTTTTATTTCAGAATGCAGCAACTTTCAGACATATCGTTCTCCTTCCTAGCCACTCAGACATGTACACATTGTGAGCTACCAGTTACCTGTGGGCCAGTTTACGTGGTTAATGATTTGAGCATTTTGTGTGGACGATGTCGAATGAGCGCCAAAGACCATTACAGGTACAAATTAGGCAAAGTTTTTAAATACTCCATAAAACCAGCAGTTTATTTATTTGTCAGAAACTTCGCGTATGAAGGCTTAGCTTCAACTTTCCTTTATCCTTGCAAAAACTGGCGCAATAATTGTTCAGTAAAACTGCGCTGGAATGACAGTCTAGATCATGAATATGAATGCAACTACGTTGGGTGCTGCACCTTTCTTTGCAGCCATCCTGGTGCATTTTTCAAAGGGCAACGTGATCTTCCCAGAGATGGTAAGTTATTGATTGTGAACAACATCGTCAAATGAGACATTTTTTAATTTTCCATTCTTCACTATTAAATAATCTCAAAAGTTCTCAATTCTTGTAGTGTTGGTATCCTCTTGTAGCTCTCTAAACAGGATGTCCCTGAAATGACGCTTAACCACAAATTCCTTACCGAAAATAAGACGATCTAGGCAAACTTACCTATACCCAATTTTGCTTCATTTTGCATCTTACTATCTGTTTTTTTTTTTAACTTTTTTGCCTCGTAAGACATACCTTTTCTTTCAAAAGATTCAAAAAAAATTAGCTAGCAGCCCAAAAAAACTTAAATTATTTGTATAGGGGGTACAAAAATACGAACAATTATTAACGATCCAAGCGTAATTTTTTATATTTTCGCGCATTAGAAAAAGATCACGCTTACGTCAAAACATATCAATTTATGTAGCATGTGTTTTAGTAAAAATCCCCAAGTCCAAATTTAGTAAAAAGCGAGGCAGGCGTTTAGAAATTATTAGGAAAAATTATTATATTTATTAGGAAAAAACTATATTAATTTGAGAACTTTGGCACCCTGTAGCGGTAAAATGAAGCAATATTGGATATTTATGATGATTGTGATGATTCATCAATTTATGGAATTGATGAATTATGATGATGATTTTTTTTTAATTTCAGGGACACCTTGTATAATGTAGTGGCTGATGTCATTTGGCTCAGATAATCAAAAGCTTTGAAATCTTAACCATTAAACCCATACAATGTTGAATACCAAATAATGTTTTCCATAAAAGCCCAATTAGTGCACAGTTTAACACACATATTGCATTATTTATTATATCAATTAAAGTCTACTAAATATTAAAACACCGATTATTGAGCTACGTGTGTAATAATAGTAAATAATTTTTTATAGTTAATTGTTCTTCGGCTCCGTCCCTATCCCATCTACTCAATATTAAATTTTTATTGATTTACCTACATAATAAAACTGTTTTGTTGCATTATCCGACAAAGCTTTTCCTAAAAAATGTTTGCTTGCATATTTCATTTTATGCCTTGGAACAATAATTTACTGAAAACAGAAAGAAAGTGTTTTAAACTATAAATCAAATTGCTGATATTTCCAAAAATGTTTGAGAAGTAGATAGATCCTTGACAAAGTCAGCTAAAAATTACCATTAGAAGACAAAAACCAATATGAAGTCAACAGCAACTATACGACTCATTCTCCAATTATTTCTTTTTACTATAAATAGTATAAAATAAACTGCATGCCACATTTGATTGAATTCAGGAGGCATTTGAAATCCGACAGCTATAAAAATAAGTGCGATAAAACTAAATTTAATCAGCAACTGAAATAAGAAATAATCCTAATAAATAAACTAAACCTGAAATGTGCAAATTGGATTAACCCAATTTTCAACTTCTACTATCCGGATTCCTCTTGGGGCTTTTGCGATAAATTGACCAACCCCCTACTCTCTGCTTTCAATATCAACTTGCATCAATATCAAGAGCCGACATGTTGCTAAATTCCGCATTTTAGTTCTGACTGAAAAACTATTTTAAAAGTAAATCTGCCCAAAATATAAAGAAAATACATCAATAAATGTTTTAGAAAAGCATTAATCCTGAAGCACAAACTAAAAGTGCAAATCTTACTTTGCTCTAACAGTAATTTATTTCCTAGAAATTAGACTCGTATATGTCCCAGACAACCTTCTAGAATATCTGGAATGTGTGATTTGCCGAGGTTACCTCAACAGTTCCCCAGTGTATATTCAATCAAACGGCCAGAATGTGTGTCACAGATGCATCTACGCCAATGGGAATCCACCTAACTGCCGAAGAAATGATGCATATGAAAATTTTAGCCAGATATTCCTTTTTCCTTGCACATATAGAAACAGAGGTGAGTTGCCAAACAATATAGCCGTTAAGATTTAGTTTGAAAATAGAAAAGCTTGATTTGAGCTATTTTTGTAACGAATTTAGTGATTATTGTTTGTAAACGATTTTCTCCAATTTATATCTAATCTGAAACAATAGACTGGAAGTGGAAATAGCATTTTTGGCACCAGTAAGCAAAAATATTTTTCCACCTTCTATCAGAGGATTAAGTCAGAAACTATATTTATAAGTTATATAAATGTGTCAAGTAAAAAATTACCTGTAACTTGACACATCCTTAGAATGACTATGAAAATGATTGATGCAAATGCCTGAAGGTGTACCATAAAGGAATCTCTACTGCCTAAGCCACAAACAAAATTGATTAATACTCTGATAGTTCGAATGCATTATTCTCTGGATAAATATAAAAATATTTTTGTTGAATTTAATCTTTCCGGCATTAGCCAAGCGATAATTATGGAATAAAAGAACTTGGTAATGTTTGCAACAGTATGGGGAGAAAAGCATCCGTTCATTGGAAATATGTATTATATTTCTTCAGAAATATTTCATATTTTTTTCGGGAACTCAAAATTTAAATATAATAAATAACACAAAACGTTCTTAATTTGATTTTATAAAATAGAAGAACGAAAGATTGGAAGCTTAAGCATTAATGAGTAGAACCAATAAACTTACGAACATAAGAAAAAGGCTACAAATTAATTCAAAATAATAGTGACAGTGATATCTGGGCTATTTATTTATCAATTATACACAACTTCGCAAAAAAGTCTAAATGGGACAAGTCTGGTTATCGATATGGCCAATGTATAGGACCTCGCCCAATTCATTTATAAGGAAAAGTTGCATTTAAAAAATGCTTTCAAACATTCTCTCCCACAATGTGGAGACGTTTTATGTAGCTGAAACCAGGTTTCGTAGGAGTAATCTCCAGCCCTGGCGGTCTCTTGAAATAATAATGATCCCAGAAGTTTGTTATCCAGTAGACCGCTTCAAACGTTGACAAAATAATGATGGTGATTCTCAATACATGGCCATGGGTTTTCATAGGCCCAAATATGCTTAATTCATGTTTGATTGAATCGTAACTGTTCGTAAATTGTAACGCCTCCGTAAAAGCTCTGTAGAAATGGGCTGCAGCCACTGACCTTACGGGAGCTTTTTTTTATTAAAGCCTAGCTAAATCTCCATTAAAAATAATTCGACTTTTTCGAAAAATTGATTTTTGTTGACATGAACTTTTCTCATCGGAATGAAACCTTTCTTTCTCACCGGACTTGACACGCGCTTATCGGTTGAGCCGCGGGACACACTCTATTTTATTTTATTTAACAAATAATTCAAGCTGCAATTTTAGTTAACTAGCATGAATACAGGATTTAATTGTCTTCCCTACGCATTAGAAATTTAACGCAAAATAGTTGAAATAATTATTCAGCTAAAATTTCAATCACATAGATATTCTATTACTATCGATCGAATGCTGACGTACTTTAATTTAACAAAAATTTAATAAAATGGCAGTAAAAATTGTTTCTATTTTCCATCGTTATACACAGGGCGTTCAATTTCAAAACATTTTTCAGTGTATTAGCATGTACCAAAAAACATTTTGCTTCTACCATAAAGTGTATTGAAATTTGAACCAAAAACTTGTTTTTATTAATATTTAAATGAGGCTGAAAACAATTGTGATACATTTTTTACAGTTTGTTCCTTACCGGACTAGGCAATCTTTGGATCAATTGCGATTAGTACAGTACTTCCATTGTCCTATTCATGGGAAAACTGGTTACTCCAGTGCCGAAAAACTAGGATGAATAGTTTTTTCTTTCAACTTTGATAATTTTAAAACTGTCACATTTTTAATAAAGCTTCAGTTACATATTGATAAAAAAAGATATTTTAGTTTTGCATTTCAAAACGCTTTATTTGGACATTTTTACATAACACTTGTTATACGAATATTGACAAGATTTTAGCTTTATTAACTATAGAATCACAATTCATTATCACAACATTTATCTTTCAATATGTACATGAGTAGGCGGTTATTTGCCAATAAAAGGTAACTATCACTGTAACTAATGAGCGGAAAGTTACTTACTATCAATACCCAGTACTCTATCATTTTCCATTTATTTTGCAGAAAGACGTATAATTGTGCCCACGGTTTAACGGTGGAAAAATTTAATTTTATTGTTATTCCAATGGTTTTAGCAATAGACGGGAGAATTGATAATTGAAATGAAATATGGTCACTTAATTTCATTAAGATACAGCAGAAATTGACTCATGCAGCTTTATCGCAAGTTTATTCCGCAAGTTGTTTAAGATTTGTGATTATGATTCTTTACTACTTTTTATGATTTTGTGGATGAGAAATAATGGTCTCTGTAATAAAATTATAGTGTAAAATACGGGCTTGTGAAAACACGTTTGTTTTGTACTTTTATCCCATAAAATGCGCTAATCGTTTACTATGAAACACTGTCATAAACTTCGTAGTCATAATTTTAAATAATATTACGTTAACTGATAGTAAATTAACATTTTTCTCGGTTAATAAACATATTAAGCGACAAAACTCTTAATGAACACAGCAACGACAAGTTAGTATAAGAAAATAATAAAATTTGCTTTAAAAGTATAAATTGTGTTACACTCTCGATTCCTCTTAACCATATAGCCTGACGCAACTTACACTTCTTGTGTATTGATTTATAATAAATTTTTTCAGGTTGTAAAGAGCGACTTCAATTCGGAAAAGCCGTATGGAATCACGAATCCAAATGCGAATATGGACCAAACTTGCCTCAGAACTCTACATTTGCAGAGCGAGCAGAACTGGTTCGCAATAGTTTGAGGCCTCAACAAGATGCGCATCGTCTCAGCTCTCGACAACGCCAACCTCAACCTGCTCATGTACATTCCTCAAACAATAATGAGCGGTCTGAAAATTCTGAGCCCCAGGATCCCGTTGTAAGGCCTAAAGAGAAAGGTCTGATAAGAACCCACACCGGACACATTTGGGCAACTATTACGCCCAGTAAGGCACTATTTGCCCCACCAGATGATGATCGTCCAGATGTGAATCAGGAAATATTAAAATCTATTGCTAAAAAGCAAGTAAGGCAAATTAGGCGCGCTGATGATATTGGACAGTGGGACGAAAATGGAGGCAAAAACTGGGACAATGAATCGGTTTCAACAAGTACTTCCTATAGCTACAAAACTAGTGGCCACAGCACACCAGAGCCTTTGGATTCTTCTCGCAGACTCTACAATCCTCCTGATGACTACCAGAGAGACTACCCTACTAGGCCCGATTCTAGAGAATCGGGATATAACACTGGACTCATCGGTAACGGACAGTTGCAAGGCCAATATCCCATTTTGATGCCGCACCATCTTTCCAATGGATACGACTCACCTAGGAGAATTTCCAGTAGGGATACTTCCCAACGAGAGAGTGTAAAAGGCAATGGACTACTTATAAGTGAGTTGAAATTGAGGCAAGACTTGATTAAAAGAACACACTCAATTAAAGGAGATAGAGACGCTCATAGTCCGTACAAGCAAAACAACAACTTTGATAACATAATAGAGCCCAATCGTCATATTAGATAGAAAACGAGTGTGATATCTTGAGGAATATGAGCTATATGGAGCAAAGCCTGCAGTGCATTAATTTGTGTTAAAACTTAATAGTCATAAGTGGACGATGATGATGATGGTTATTATACTGTATCTTGCGTGGAGTATTGATAAAGTTCCAAAATTTATATAAAAATTGTTCGCCTTTGCCTTGCAAACTAAACGAAAACGGAGCTACCAATTAAATTTACGCTTTTTGTACTGTAAGTAATTTAGTTTTTAAAGGTTAACATATTTTGCAATTTTATGCAGGTAATATTCTTTATGACTCTAAAAGTAGTAGTTATATTGTAGTGTAATTATTAGTATGGCCATGTGTTTACGGTTTTCATCGATTGCCTGTACCCTGTGTGTTTTAAAGTCAAAGTCGTTGAAAAATGATTTTTCACCAATTTTTTCAACCCAAAAACGGTAACTTTTAGAAATGATTGCGATTTTGATTATTGCAGACTTTCCGTCACCATTGTATATTAAGATTAGTTTCAAACCTATTTTTATTGTTCAATGCATGGAGCTTTTTTATTCATATAAGTGTCCCTTTATCCACCCCGTTGGTAAAAAATAGTCTTTTGTACATTCGTTCACACAAAATGTAATTTTAACTTTTTAACATGGATTAAATTTGCAATTTCACAAAAACTCAATAGTCCGTGAAAATTGTTGCATGATCATACGAAACAAAAAAATACAATTGACTGATTAATGTTTAATTTCTTAAGATATTTTTAATACTCGTGTCGATCTGATAAAACTTTTAATATTCAAGAGATCTCAGGCAAAAATGTCCGAAGTCGTTTGTTATAAGAAAAATGTTGTTCTTCGAAGTGGATTAATCTAGTTGACACCTACTTGAAATTCTAATGAAAGTTTTATCTCGATAAGGAGTATCGTCTGACTAGCCTTGATAATGTCATTTAATCAATAACAAAACATTTCATAATAAGCTGAAACAAAGCGTATTAGCCCAGAACGAAAAGTAGGTACTGACTGCTTCTCTGTCCGGCTGATGTAAAAATAACTCTTATTATTATATATGAGGCATCATATTGCATTTTTCTTAATGCTATGTAATAGATATAAACATTTTTTGAATTTAATATAAACAATGTGTAGTAAATGCGTTTATTAATTTATTACGGGCCGGATTAGTTACTTGTAGTTTTTCAACATGCCGACGTTGAACGACAATCAGCAAGTGCTTTTTCGAAGGATAGAATAACAATCGAAGAACTTTTAACGTTAAAACCAAAAAAAATAGGAATATAAAATATGTATACGGTTAAACTTTGCAACTTCAAGGAGAATAAGCAAATACATAAAGTGTGCCCCAAAATTAAAGAAAATTTTCAATTAAATAGAAAATACAGTTTTTGTATTTAGATTATATCAAAGAATCAACGAACTTTATTCGGTGTGGCTAGTCATTAGGTAACAGTTATTGCGCAAGCATGGATAGGTACACAGATATTTTATAAGACTATGTTATAGAAAAAAGATGTACGCTTCTTGAAATTTAGAATTTTTGTCCAAGACGCCGATTTATTGTTCTCTTCACAGCAAGTTAAAACATTCTCTTATCTCGAACAAAAATTTTGCACTGCGACCGCCAAATTTTATTAATTTTTTGATATTATTCAACAATGAAAGCACGTTGTGATATCGTGTAACGCCTTCTTTTTGCGAACCGTAACTACTAACTCTTGACTCTTTCAAGATTACCCCATTTAGTGAAAAAATAGCAGCATGTTCAGATTTTACGTTAATTTTTCCTCCGTTTATAAGTGAACTTTTATGGTTTCGATAAACATTTAACGATTGAAGATAATCGGACTCTTTTGCTTAACTTCAAGGGAATAAAACTCAACTCAAATAGATGTTGCTTTTTAGCATAGCGCATCCAGTATGTTCGGTGATTATGACTAACTGCCGCAGAGTGTGAAAAAAATTCTTGTTTCTTGCACTCAATATCTCAAGATTGGGCAAACTGATTTGGATGAAATCTGGCGCGATTTACTTGACGTAATGTGGAATAGGTGAAGAATATAATAAGAAAATTCATAAGGAAATAGGGTATTTTACACTTTAGGCTGCATAGCTTTATAGCAAGTGATTTTTTTTTGCACAAACATTGTTTGTTATGAATTTTAATATGCTGAACTAAAATCTAACCAAAAAAGTGTCTTTAGATTTTCATTTTTCCGGAAAAATCGATTAAACTCTGAAAAACGAAACTGAAACGAAATTAACTAAACAATTTCAAACTGCCCTAGAATATTCACTAAGTTAAAGCCATATCGGATCAAACAGATTTCCAATTCTTACGCTCCTGAATTAATTCCAGCAGATCTATTCGAAATCCAAAGTTCATCCCAACCAGACTTCAAATATCAAACATTTTAAAACCAGAAAGGTGCTTATAAGGTAAAAGCATGGAATTTCACAAGAACGTAGAAATGTTCCAGATGTGTCAAGAACAAATATATCAAAAGAATCTGACATCCAAGAAAAGTATATAATAAAACTAGATGTAATAAAAATGTGTTATTTTTCCAATTTAAGACCCGCCTTATCTTCATATGCCTTTAATGAAAGAAAAAACATAAATACAGATAGCATTAAAATTATTAAAGAAAAAACATTTTTGTTAGATGTCCCATGCAGATACTTTAATTCAAATATGATTGTTTGTAAAACCAATCTATTATCTAAATAATTTGGCCGGAGAATGATACATTTTTCTGGTCAAATACTCCATATTTTCAGAATGTCTAAGAGAAATATTGAAATATAGACTCACAAACTAGGACTCATTTGTAGTTTGTTCCTCACAAGTGTTACGTCTATAATTAAAAGTCGACAGTTTTAATGTTATATCTAGAGTCAGCATATGAAAGTTTCTGAAGTGTGAAAAAATTACGTTTTTAATTTCAACTGTTTAAGCAGTAATTTGAAAAAAAATCTCCACATGGGTTCTTGTCTAAGGAGGTGTAGACATTTTTCGATAGATGTTTATTTGCATTTTTTAAATTGCAGTTTTACAGTTATGCCACCTAATTTTGAAACATCCTGTATGTCAGCCTGTAAGTCTACAGGGCATTGACCGATTGAGTTTCTTCATAAAAGTCATATCCTTAGTCGTATCAAAATGAAACCCATAAAACTAGATATACACTCAATCCATATAAATGGATTACTTGAGAGACTGCTGACCAACAAATTTGTCCTTAACTAGTCACAATGTTGCAAAAGCAAATTGAAAAACATCATAAAGAACCGCTGTGGAAATTCATTTTTATGAGCGATGAGGCAATATTAAATTCTGTTTGGTAAAACAATTCGCGTAAGATGTGAGTTGAAGCTATTTTTTTATAAAAGGAGCTTTGCCTGGTAGTGTATTTCCACAATTTAAGCGGTTTGTCGATTTAAGCCCAAAACTGCAACACATCTGAATAATTTTATAAACTAGCATCTGAATCACTTTGTGATTTTGTGAACAGGTTCATTATTTTATGGTTTCAATTATAATTGAACGTTCAGATGAACATTTCTTTCTATAGAAGTAAAATTGTATATAAATTTGGCTTAGCTGCACTGGAAAATCATAAATTACCTGGTGATAAGAATATCTGGGAATTATTCCGAAAATATTTAAAGCAAATATTCATGACACTTCACTGCAGTATATGCACAGTAAATTCTGCTAAAACTTGAGCTGCATGGGAAGCTGAGCATCTATTCATTTCTGGAAAACTTTTGAACCAAACTACGATAAACTTCCGGTTTTCAAGCTCATACCTTGCAAAGCGAAATTATAATCGTTATTTCCGGCGAGTTTAGAGTTTCAAAACAGTACCTGATATAAATTCTAATAGTTCTGGTTATAACGCATACATTTTTGTTTTGTTTGAGTAATGTAGCAGCATATAAAAGTCTCTAGTAACGCAATAATAAATATGATTTGGTAATGAAAATGTGCATTTAATGGCAAAGTTTAAAGCATATTTGAAAATATGCGGTAAAAACTCACCATTATGATGAGCAACTCCTAAATCTTGCAAGAGTGTGGCGGCTAAATCTGCTTTTTGACGAGCAGATTCGAACCTGAGCGAATCGATTGGTACTGTTAACGATCGGAATTGTTCTGTCACACACAAAGAACCGAGACTTTGAGATGAAACCTCGTGGACGATGCTCAGACTGGATTCTATATCCTCCTGAAAAATTGCAAAATGGCAATTTCACAAAGTTTGAAATTATTTCTTTGTGCTTGAAGTTTATGCATTCTGTATACTTGTATAGGTTGAAATTTTTTGCATCAAAAATTGATAGTTGAAAAATTCCGTTCCCTTAAAACCCGTTTAAAAACCTTCAAAGTTACAAATTTAAATTTCCTTCTAAACCCATCGAATATAACATACTTGCAACTTGCGCTGATTTGTTTGCTATCATATTTACTTACTTTTTTCACGAGCCCGTTGGTGACTGAAAGAACTGAGCAAATTGAGACAACCATAATTAACTGTCGAGACGTCACAAGAAGCCTCCTCCCCATTACGCATCGTCATTGGTGCTGCAGAAATATTGCTGGTGTTAATAATTCATAGCAAGTAACAATAAAACGTTCTAAAAATCAAATTACCATTAACAAACCGAAATAAAATTTCAATTCAAGTCGCACCGTCAATGAAGAGGGTCACGAAAAAACTAAAACTGCATGCTACAATTGCGGCACTATTGCTGCCAATTAATTCTTAATTGGTATTGGGATAAGCGAATAATGGAGCTAATAGAGGATATAATACTGGTCGGAAATTCGGATATTCTAAAAGTACTGAAAGGGATTATTTGAAGTTTGTTTTTCCGTATTTGATTTAAGTATTTTTTCAGTATAATCTATACAGGGTTATTCACGCTATACGGCACGGACGTTTGCGGCTAGCCCGTTTGTTTTTTGCAAAGTATTATTTCATGAATCCACAGACGCCAGTTATATAACCACTTACGCAGACCACTGTGTATTTCACTCAATAAATGTCGATGCAGCAAGTAATGACTATATAAGCTGTGCATTCGGCATGAAGAAATCAGTCTTAAGTTAGTAGGACATAGTGTAACATCTCGTTGTTGTAAAACACATTTTTGATTCGTAATAAACGGTTTATTAAAAACAAGTTTTTTACAATCAGAAACAAAATTGGCGCAGTCGGGTAGGATACCCTCCCGTGCAGTTACAGTTTCCAAGTTTTTGTCGAAAAAATCGATCCACAGTGAAAATCTTCTTGTGCGGTTACGATCTCTGAAAAAAAGTTTTCGAGAATTCGATCGTGCAGTGAAGTTCTGTGTGAAACAAGTGAAACCAGTGACCAGCACGTCTGTCTCAACAGTTCAGGAAGG